GGTAAAGCCTGTTATCTCTTCCCTCCATCATCCTCTGTGCTCCCAGTGTCTCTGTGGGGAATCAGGTGGTGTTGGTGTTGACATGCAGGGCTTTGGTGTTCAGACTGAGGGGCAGCGAGAGGGACCCTCTTTATTCCCAGCAGCTTGACTGCTAGTTCAGGGGAAGCTTCAGAGACAACTGAAGTGCTTTTGTCAGGATTAGAATGTCTTTAAAACAGAACAGATTCTGTACCAGGTCACTAGACAGTTAACATCAGATAATCCTAGGTTTCCCTTAAACCTTACATTTCCCTTTAGGCCTGTATTTTTACTTTTTGATTTAGTCACTGTTTTTTTCTGTTTAGTTGTATCTTCACATGGCATTTATATGAGAGTGATGATGTGGATAGTAACTGTATAGCAAAGTCTGCTTGAAAATTATTTTCACAATAAATCATTTTCTAGTTGAAAATAGCCCTGTGTCCAGTAGCTTATTCTTCTCTACTGGCTTGAAAGACCTTGATTGGACATCTGTATTTGTAAATCTTTTTTTGCAACAATGCCAAAACAAAAATTTTAATTTTAAAGGATGGTCTGAAAAGACAAGTCCTTCTAATCTTTCAACAGACTTATTTTCTTACATATGTGTTGTTGTTTTTAAAATTAGACCACTTTACTTGACAATTCATTGTATAGACTCTCTACTAAGTTAAGAAAAACTTTATAATCAATATTGCATGCCTTATATGAAGCAACATATCTTGTTTCCCTAGCTTTTTCCTTTTGTTTTAATGTATAAGATAATAACAAAAAACTTATTATATTTATATTGATCCTGTGTCACAGTGAATTTCTGGAAAAACACATTGGTAGATTATTTTATGTGTATCTGAAATTTAAAAATGTTGGTGGTAGGTTTTTAGATGTATATTTATTTACAATTGATTGCAGCCTTTAAGTCTTATCTAAAGAAATATCATTATTCCACAAATAAAATTGAATAAAAAAAACTGTTGGAGACAGACACATTCATAACTTTGGTTTTCTGATATAGTTATCTCCAATCAGATTTCTTTTATCAAACCATTTATTCAATCCCCTTATAGCAGATGGTAATCCTGTAAAGCAGATTATCTTTCCTTTATGACAGTGCGGGGATTTGATATTTTTCGAGTACATTTTACTTGCTAGAATACTAAATTTGATTTCATACAGGAAAGGCTCTGTGGGTGTGAAGGGGTAGGTAGGCATGTGTGACCAGTGTCCTGTGCTCTTCTCTCAGTTTTATATTCCATGGTGAGAGACTCCTGTGTATGACACCTAACCACATGGCCATACTGGCTTGCTTTTCTTATTGCCTTTGTTGTAGGGGCATCCTATGTCCCTTTTTCCTGTTTCTTTATCTCCCTCTTTTCTTCCTTTCATTGTTTGTCAGCTTATGACACTCTCCACTGATACCTGAAATATTTTTCCAGTTCTGGTTCTACCTCTGAGTTTATAGGGGCTTTGGCTGTAGGTTTGGCAGTGGCCAGTGAGAGAAGAAAGTAGGCCACTTGAGTCATCCCTTCTACTTCTAGGCAGACCTTGTCTGAGCCTCAACAAACCTTAGCTGATGCCTGGTGTATTCAAACTCTGTAGTTTTTGCTAGTGGGTAGAAACAGAGAAGCCTGTAGGGCTGTTTGCTAGCATGATGAAGGGGGGTGAGGCGTGGAAGCTATGAGGCAGCTTTAGGACCAGCTCTAGGAAGTGTGCTCTTACCAAGAACAATGGGTAGTGGCAGTGAAAAAGAAGCAGGTAGGCTACATCTGAGTTTTTCATGAACTTGGGCAAGAAGTTTACCAGGTCCCCAGCCTTATTCTCTGGCACCTTGAAAATTTGGTGTCTACCTTTTATTATTTCTACAACATCTCAATCCTAGGGAACTGCCTGCAAATGCATTAATTTCTAATTTGCTTTTTGTCACTTTTAAAAATTAAATGTTTTTATAAAAGAAAAGGGCAGTTTGCTTTCCTTAAATTCACATGCCATTGTTTTTAAAAATGAAGTTCTAAGGGGCTGGGGATTTAGCTCAGTGGCAAAAGTGCCTGCCTGGCAAGCACAAGGTCGTGAGTTCGGTTCCCGGTACCGGAGAAAAACCAAAAAAAAAAAAAGAAGTTCTAAAACTTAATGTTTGTTCTTGCCTGGAAAATATTTAAAATGATATGCTTTTAAAAGTGGAACACAAGAAATAAAAATATCTATTGGGTTTTATTTAACTGGTTCCATTCAGAAAAGCTAGATATTTTATATATAAAAGATTTTAGAAGGGAAGGAACACTTACATCTCTATATAAGTTAAATAAAGTCAAACAAGACTCAGGAGTGTTTGTACCACTTAATCATTGTTTAAGTTTATTGTATCTGTCATTTAAGTCTATGTATCAAGGAACTAGCTAAAATTGTGAATTGACATGTAATACTAGAAGTAGGGATGAAAGTAAGTCTATGGGAGTTATATTTTATGTATATCTTAACAAAAATGCTGTCTCCACCATCACTGTATTGCAGCTGTGGTATTTGTTCTCCTTTTTCAGATTTTGATCAATTTGTATAATGTCTGTATTAGGTTTATCTTCTGTGTTAAAGTTTTTTCTGCTTACCTTTATCTTAAAGCCTGAAGTTTTGGAAGGTTTATTGTTCCTGTCACTTTCCTATGTTTGTACGGCCATTGTCTTCCGCAGAAAAGACTCATTGATACAGTAAAATGACTCTTGCCTTTGTCGGTGCCAGCCGCGACATTTTACTCAGTCTAGATACGTTAACAATGAAACTACAGAGCTCTCTGTTTAAAATCTGCCAGATCCTTGTTATTCTGTAGCACCCTTTGAGCCCCTTGCCATGTCAATGGTAGATGGTACTCTTTAGTAAGTGGCCCAACTACCTAAGTAAATGCCATTTTATTTAATTCATGTTTTTTTCCCTCATTTTATGGAAGGAATTGGTGTTCCTTGGTGAAAACTGATCATGTGTTTTCATAGAGTTTTATGTATCTCTCTTAAATTTTGTCTTAGGAGGTTACCTTTTGCTAGCACCCATCTCTTCTGTGCTTTCTTTTATAAATACTTAAAATAACGCAGAAGCCTCATATTTATTACTATTTGCTATAATAGTCATGAAAAGAATAAATTATGACCTTACTATTTTTATTAGGACAGGATTTTTCAAAATAAGTTTCTGTCATATTTGATCAGGGAAAGTATGGTTTTTTTTGCATACATAACTTTTTGTAAAATTATTTGCAGTTTTATATATTATTACATGTTAGTAGATTTCTAAGGTTAATAGTAGTCTTTGTCTTTCATTGGATGTCATAGGAATTCTGTCTGCTATTGTGCAGTGTTGATTACAAAGAAAATGCTTAGAAAATAGTTCCCAGGGGAGTAGTGATGCTACAAAGATAAATGTGTTTTTACATGATGCCACCTACACTTACAAAATCTTTAAGTTTAGAAATTTAATAAGAATTGTCCAACAATGAATAAAGCATTCTGTAGTTTTATACATAATCTCTGTTTTCAAAGCTTATGGTTCACTTGCATTGTTCCTGAAATATTATCTGTACAGTACTCTCCTCTTATCTGCAAAGCACCTGTTCCAACCCCCTATAGGTACTTAAAATTGTGGAAAGTACCAAGACTCATACGTACTGTTTTTCCCTACAAATGGATATCTATGATAAAGTTGAATTTATAAATTGTGCACAGTAAGAGATTGATAACAATAATAAAATTAAAAATTATAGTAGTGTACTATAATGCTATTTAAAATTTATAAATTATTTACTTGCAGGATTTTTCCGTTTGATATTTTCAGCTGCAGTTGACCAGAGTAAATGAAACTGCAGATCCAGGGGACTATTGTACTAAATACCATCTTGTATTAACTCTTTTCTGAAAAGCTATTAAAATGTATGTTAATCATGTGAGAGGAAATGCAGATTCATAAGCAGAGTAAGTTAAGATCCTAATAATTAGATGATACTTTTATTTAGAAACAGATCCCCTCCCTTTTCCTGCTCTTTATCATCTATCTGTCCAGTTGGCAAGTCTCTCCTTTTAAAGAAGCTTATGAATCATGGAAAGTTATTGGAGCATTTGTGGATTTTATTTATCATACCACATTCTCACCTAAATCACAGAGGACTTCTGGGAATACTCAGAAAAGGAGAGAGGTTGTAACCTAGCAGAGTGTTGTTGTTGTAACATCTAAGAGTTGGGCATACACAAATAAAGCAGAGTCAGTGTTTTATATTTATCATAGAAAGAAGCTCTGAAGGGGTTAGGAAATTATACCCTCCTACAAATTCAGGATGGAAAACACTGGAGTCTTCAAAACAGAAAAGGTAGAGATCACTGGATTGAGAGATCTTCAATTCTTCTAGCTTTTTCTGGGGACTGACAGAGATAAAAATAATGTAGCCCAAGTTTCAGAAGGTTCATTAAGGAACACAGTAAATAGGTTTTGGGTAATGGTTACTGATCTTTTCTCACTTTGTGTTTATCTTGGCAGCTTTCGTAACATCTACATGTTTGGAATTGGGTTGTGTATAATTTTAGTGGAAGTTGAAGTGTTACCCACAAAATTACTAGGCTCAGTTATCCTGTTGTTTGGGTCTGTTTTAATATAACTAATGTTGATTTGATAGGGTTTGGCATGGTTTGATTTAGTTTAATGTCTTTAGTTACGAATATCTATTCACTATTCTGAGACCAATTTTATTAAATTGAATGGCTGTTGTGTTTCATTTTTTTTATAGCATTGGAACTAGATTCTGCATGATTTTCGTATAGGTAGTACTAAACTAGAGAAAGCTTGAGGTTCATCCATTAATAGAAGCTGCAGTGGGTAGGAACAGAGGTAGAGAGACTTGGGTAATAACACTCTCCAACTAAATATTTGTAGTTTTGTAATTCATGTGTATATATAAACCTCTGCTGTACCAAAAATGTTCATCAAACTTTTTTCACTCTTTCCTTCCTTAGGTATGGATGAACGTGGTGGCACGACATCTTGGGGAACAAGTGGTCAACCAAGCCCCTCCTATGACTCATCTAGAGTAAGTTTTCTTACCAACTCTTGATTGGAACTATAAAGATAATTTGGCTGAATAAGTAAATTCTTTCATATATAAACACTATTTAAGAGAAATGGAGATTATTTTTATGAAAATAGAATATCCAGTATCTTCATAGTACTAGATTTAACTCTTTTTATAAACTGTCTTATTATGGGGGACAGTTAGATTTAATTCTTTTTATAAACTGTCTTCTTGTGTTTTTTTTGTTTTGTTTTGTTTTGTTTTTTCTCTGGTACTGGAAACCGAACTCACAACCTTGCACTTGCCAGGCAGGAGCTTTGCCACTGAGCTAAATCCCCAGCCCCTTTGTTTGTTTGTTTGTTTGTTTTGTATAAACTGTCTTCTTATGGGGGACAGTTACTGTATTTCCTACACTTTAAAAAGTACTCCTGGTTAGGCATGGTGGAATAAACCTGTAATCTCAGAACTCTGGAAGGCTGAGGCGAAAGGATCACAAGTTTGAGCCCAGCCTGGGTGACTTAGTAAGACCCTGTTTCAGAGAAAATAAAAGAGTCTGGGTCTGTAACTCAATGAGAACGTCCTGGGTTCAACCTCTAGTACTTGGTGTGTGTGTGGGGGGCGTTTAGGGTGGAAACCTCTTGGTGGTGTTTCTGTCCTTGGACCATCTACAGTACTCCTCACTGACAAGCTTGCATGATTCACTGGGTCCGCTCCATACTTGCATACCCGTGCTCTTTGATGTGTTTATTTGCTGTGAGAGGTGGCCGGTAGCTTCCAAAGCACCAGCCATGTGCTGCTGCTCCACCCAGTCTTGATCTAGTAGTCAGCGGCTGGATCGGGGACTCTATAGCCCCATCTTTTGCAAGATGGCATTTTTTGGTTAACAGTTACAATAAAATCAAACTAGTGTTCTACACACTGAAAGTTCAGAAAATTAGAGCCTTTTCCAGCTGCCCCCCCACCCCCAAGTCCCCAAAACATTTAAAAATGATACTGGAAAATGGAAAATTAAATCAAAGAATTGCAATGGAATTAAGTAATGCTCCCCAGCTGCATAGTAAACCAGGGAGGTTAAAGGATACTTTTCCAAAAGACCATCCTTTGAATTCATTTCTTTGAGAAGAAAAGATAGACAAGCATAAAGATTTATGGATACTTAACCTTATAAGCAAATTGGCTTAAGAAGTAGAAGGAAAACTGAATAAGAGATTGGAGCTCATAATTTCAGTGTGGGTTACACTCTTTTGTGTGGAGAAATGTTGCAAAGTGCTTTTTAAAATATGAGATTTTCTGTTATATTTGGCCATAACCAATGTAAGTTTTTTAAAGAAATACTTTATAAAGTACTAAAATAGTGATATGGGGACCCTCCCCCCCAAAACAGAGATGGTTAAACGTGGTATTTTGTGTTTCTCTTTTGGAAATGGGAGGTGAAAAAGTTGAATTGTGGTGTAAAGAGTGGTGCTGGGTACCTCAAGATTTGGGCTTTACTCTTGACTCTGGTATGAGCTGACTGTTTAATCTTGGACATATTTCATGTGGAGGATAGCCAAACTGGTTAAAGTTGAAATTGTTTTTCGTCCTTTAAAAGTTTTGATTTTTTGAGTAGTAAGCATTTTTTATGTAGTGGAAAAATCACAGTGTACCATTTATTAATATTATTGGAGTTTTTCCTTTCAGAGGCTTCAGTTACTGTAATATCATATTACCTTGAGTGCATTAACTGGTTCCCTTGACTTAGTAGTTACTTCCTTTTGATTCAAGCTTTCAGTTCTTTTCTACTTCCTTTTTATTCAACCTTTCCACTTCATAAGATTTTAGGATGAAAAAAATTATAAAACTGTGTACAGACTTTCGTAATTCATGGGCCTGAAATTATGTCTCCAGAAGCGTAAGCCAAAAAACCTGCTTGTAAGTGTAGATTATGTACAGTGAAAGGTTGAAGTTGATTCTGTAGAAAACGAGTATTCTGTCTTAGAGAAATTCCAGATTAATCTGTAGGTGCTCCCAGCCTCCTGTGGAACCACATTCCTGTTTGTCCTTTGTAAGATCAGATACAGTGGGGATTCAGTGATGTCTGGTTTTGTTGCTGTTTCCCCTGAAATCCATCCTTCAGTTTCCCTCCTTGTATCTTAGCCACACTGTAACCCTCTTTCAAACTACTGTATTTTTCCTCTTAGCTTTTCTTACCCCGAGAGACATTTACCATCTTTACAGCCTCCCTCCTTGTTCCTTTATGGAAAAGTTATCAGTCTGTGGCTTGTCAGCATTAAACACTCTTTACTATGTTGACCATTTTTTCATAATCAGAAGCATAAATGGTTTAATATAATTAATAAGATCTCATTTGGACAGAACATGCTATTCTGTTTTAGCACAGTGAGGTTCTTAAAAATTGAGTATATCAAAAGCATTATTAAATTTATAGTGTGTAACACTCCTTTGTTTTCTTATGATTTAAAGGTAAAATGTATGAATAAATGGAAATCTATGTAAAAAATTTCAGAAATAAACATTGCTGTTGGTAGAAAACAGTTTTGACACATTGTTAGTAAAATAATTCAGTTTAAACTTTAATAAGCTTGCAGTGCTTTCATAGAAATCGTGTAGATTAAACTTATTTAAACTCGATCTTATTGTATAAATATTTCCATCATAGCAAATAGAATTATTCAAAAATAATTTGATTTTCAGTAAAACATTTTATTTTACTTTCTATAAGATTTGAAAAGGCTTACATCCCATACACAAAAAGATTAAATAACTGAAATATTAGTGCTTTTAATTTATATGGATTAAACTAGCTGAGCTCTATGGTAGAAAGACTTTTCTACAGTAATGTAAAACCACATCTGGCACAGGAGCCCTGTTGATACTGTATGTACAAACATGTTAGTGTATAGGAGTGACTACTCAGAGTTGTGAACTTAGAATTTACTTAACAGCTTCACAAAGGAAATTTTTGCTGTGTACACTTTCTACCTTGTAGGTACTATAACTCCAAAGATCCTGTTCAACTCCAGTGATCTTGATGTTCAGTACGCTCTACCTCTGTCTCCACTTAGCCAGGGTGTTTGGTCTTAGACATTTTTCAGCAACAGCAAGGTCTGCACCAGAGCTCCAGCCAGAGGTGGCTGTCCTTGCTCATACTGTGTCACAGTGGAGAGGGGGTTAAGTTCTTGGTTAACTGCTAATACCCCATTTAGTGAAATGTTTTTGTGAGGCATTTACAGTAAGTGCAGTCATAGAAGAAATGACAGACATGTTCAGCATTCTTAGGAAATGTGGATTTGATCATGTTTGCAACACTCAGAGGGAAGTATTGTTTGTGGTTTGTTCTTACAGACTTTACTATCTTGATAGAGTCTTATTTCAGCACTCTTGAACTCCTGTCCGCTTGTGCAGAACAAAGAGCATATACAAACAGATAAAAGCAACGCCATAATACGAAAAACACTTCCAGTTTTAGAAATTTGCAAAAGTCCTGGTCAAGGTAAAGCATCAGAGATAAATGAAAAGTATGAATCCCAAGTACTGTAGACATAGACAAGAAGTATAGTTAATAAGTTTGTTCCTACTCTCTCTTATCCTTTAGTGAAATGTTTTCTGTGATTGATATTCTGCCAGCCACAAAGGCCAGAAAATAATTATTTTCCTTGTTTACTACAGTGTCAGTGATTTATTCTAGTTTCAGAGATTATTTTCCTCTTACTACTGGTATAATTCTGGACAGGGTATTTAAACTCTCTCTACTTTATTTATCTGTAAAATGGCGATAGTAATAGCTACTTCCTAACATTGTGAGGATTAAGTGAGACTGATAAAAAGCACTTGGGGCAGTCAGTGTCTTCTAGATGTTGAGTGCCATGGGAGTGTTGGCTTTAAACCTGTTTCTAAAAATTCATTTACACAACCTATGTAGCAATTACACGAATGTAAATGGATGAATACATTTGCAAGTATGTTGCATTCTCTGTGTAACAAGTATTATTTGCTGACTTAATCATGCTTAGCATACTCTCGTTGCCTTTAGATTTGTAAAGGATATAAAATCAGTTTCTCTTTCACTTACCCATTTCTTTCTTGGGAAAGCAAAAGTTTCTTCCTAGTAATCATTGATGTAAAAGTTTTTGTCTTTGCCTAATACAGTGCTTTATATACAGTGATGCTCTGTATATTCATGAATATAATCAAATTAGGGAATAATCGTTAGATGTACAAGGTTAATTGGATTTGGGTGCTGAGGAAAGAAAGAATTAAAATACATTTAACATGATGAAACTTGTTGTATATGGTGGTCATATTAATGGTAATAAGTCTTTATTCTGTGCTTACAATGTTATTGTCCTGATCATCAGCTCTAAAGTGAAATACCAAAGTATCACTGAGATTTCCACCTGGGGTGAGGTTATGACAGGGCTCACAAGAGAGGAGTTTCCTGTTGAGACTCTTATGATACAGAGTTTTTCATTTAATAGGTAAATTTGAGTTCACTGGTGGGAAGCACTAATAGGAATTACATGTATAGGGACCATCAGTGACCAGGGGTTGTTATTTTAGTCAGAACCATTTTCCAGTTTACAAAGGACTGTTATAATTATTTTTTGTTTGTGGGGGGCATTGAGTTGAATAGAATTTCAATACTTTTTTAAAAAGTTGTTAAATTCCACCATATTTTTCTTCTTCTTGTAATATGGTTTGCAGGATGAGCTGGTCATTTGTATTTCTGCTCTTTCTCCTTCTACTTTTTGTAGGATTATATAATTTTCAAAGCTGACAAGTGCATTAGTTATCATTATATCCAGTCATTGTATTTTGTAGGTGAAAAGTCTGAGTCATAGACTGTTTGAGATTGGCCATGTTCAATTTTGTGCTGTCTTCCCAGAATAAGTGAGGTCTGGGTAGAGCTTATGACTAGTCGGTGACAACCTCGGGCATAGAGCGCAGGGAGTCCAGCTCTTATGCCGCTGTCTTAGTATTTCCCAACTCAAAAAACTCTCCTAAATGTTCTGCCATTT